GATGAGGTCTCACTGCCCAGGCGGGTCTCGAACCCGTGGGCTCGGGCAATCCACTCACCTCAGCCTCCCTAAGGCGCAGGATTACAGGCTGAGCCACCAAGCCGGCTCTCTTTTATTTTTTAAATAAACAATAGTTTTAGATAAGAAAATGTTTACAAAGATAGTACAGGGAGTTCCTGTATACCCTACACTCAGTTTTCCCCATCATTAGCATCTTACATTAGTATGGCACATTTATTACAATTAATTAACCAGTATTTATATTATTATTATTTATTTTTATTTTTTGGTGATAAGGTCTTGCTCTGTTGCCCAAACTGGAGTGCAGTGGTGTGATCATAGCTCACTGCAGTCTCTAACTCCTGGGTTCAAGTAATCCACCCACTTCAATCTCCCAAGTATCCAGAACTACAGGTGTACACCAGCAACCCCGGCTAATTTTTTAAATTTATTTTTTGTAGAGATGAGAATCTCACGATGTTGCCCAGGCTATCGGACTCCTGGCCTGAAGTGATCCTCCTTCCTCAGCCTCCCAAAGTGTTAGGATTACAGGCATGATCACTATGTTCAGCCATTGATATGTTATCATTAAAGTCTATACTTTCTTCGTGACCCGCCTGGGCAACTTGGCGAGACTTCATCTCTACAATAAATCAAAAAATCAGCCGGGCGTGGTAGCATGCGCCTGTAGTTCCAGCTACTTGGAAGGCTGAGGTGGAAGGATCGCTGGAGCCCAGCAGGTCGATGCTGCAGTGGCTGGGAGCGGCCACTGCACTCCAGTCTGGGCGTCAGAGTGAGACTCCTACTCAAAAAAAAAAAAAAAAGTCTATACTTTCATTCATATTTCTTCAGTTTATTCCTAATGTCTGTTTTTTGGTACTTGGAGGCCATCCAGGGTACCACATTACATTTAGTTATTATATTTTCTTAAGCTTCTTTTCAGGCTTTCCTTGTTTTTCAAACTTTCCTTGTTTTTGATAACCTGCACAGTTTTGAGGATTACTGATCAGGTGTTTTTAATAATGTCCTTCAACCGGGATGTGTCTGATTCTTTTTTCAGGTTTAGGAGAGAAAGATCACAGTGGTAAAGTGCTAATCTCATTGCAGCATATCAGGGTTACATCTTTCAAAATGATTTATCACTATTGTTGTTACTCTGGTTTAAGGTAGTGATTGTCAGGTTTATTCACTATAATGTTATTCTTTTTTTAAAAAATTTCTTTCCATACTGTACACTTTGGAAGAAAGTCATATGTGCAGACTCACTTAATAAGCGGGAGGTTGTATTCTTCCTCCTTAGGGGCATAGTCTACATCAACTATTTGAAATTCTTCTGCACAGGAGATTTATCTCTTTTCTGTTATTTATTACTTTATTGAATCATTTATTTATATCAATATAGACTCATGAGTATTTATTTTATACTTTGGCTTATAATCTAATATTTATTTTGTTGCTTAAATTGTTCCAGCTCTAGCCATTGGGGAGCTCCTTCAGTTGACTCCTGTTGCCCTTTCTTACTTTTATAGTGCCAAAAAGCACAGAGAATTTCTACATACTTCACATCCAATTTCACTGTGACATACCCCTTCCTTACTTTTTTGGTCCTATGAGATTCTCTAGGCTCATCTTGCATATTTTTTGTTCCAGTCCTAGAGTCAGCCATTTCTCCAAGGAGCCTTGGTTCCTTTTATTGGAGAATAGTATTAGAAAATACTGTCTGGGCCAGGCACAGTGGTTTACACCTGTAATCCCAGCACTTTGGGAGGCTGAGGTAGGAGGATCCCAGAAATCTGAGATCAGCCTTGGCAATATAGTGAAACCTTGTCTCTACAAAAAATTAAAAATTAACTTGGCGTGATGGCATGTGCCTGCAGTCCCAGCTACTTGGGAGGCTGAGGTGG